TTTCCCGCACTTGGAGCAGGAATAAGGCTTCTTTTCTGTGTGAGTCATTTGATGTCTAACAAGGATTGCTTTCGCTGAAAAACTTTTCCCGCACTCAGGACAAAAATACGGCTTCTCCCCTGTGTGAATCTTCTGATGTCTGTAAAGTGTGGACTTCTGTGAAAAACATTTCCCGCACTCAGAGCAGGAATATAGGTTTTTCCCTGTGTGAGACTTCTGATGTATGTTAAGATGGGATACCTGTGAAAAAGATTTCCCGCACTCAGGACAGGAATACGGTTTCTCCCCTGTGTGAATGATCTGATGTCTGCAAAGTTTGGACTTCTCTGAAAAATGTTTCCCGCACTCAGAGCAAGAATAAGGCTTCTCTCCTGTGTGAGATCTTTTATGTACAACAAGTCCTGACGACCATGCAAAACGTTTCCCACACTCAGGACAGGAATACAACTTTTTTCCTCCATGAGATGTCTGATGCATGTTAAGATAGGATAGTTGAGAAAAAGATTTCCCGCACTCAGAACAGATATACGGTTTTTCCCCCGTGTGAGTCCTCTGATGACTGTAAAGACTGGACTGCTGTGAAAAACGTTTCCCGCACTCAGAGCAGGAATAAGGCTTCTCCCCCGTGTGAAATCTTTGATGTACAAGTAGTTTTGATTTCCATGTAAAATATTTCCCGCACTCAGAACAGGGGTACAGCCTTTTCACTGTGTGAGACCTCTGATGTTTGTGAAGGTGGGACAGTTGTGAAAAACATTTCCTGCACTTAGTACATGAGTACAGCTTTTTGACCATCTGTAATCTGTAATGTAGGGTGAGTTCTGATTTTTTATGAAAACATTTCCCACACTCAGAACAGGAATGAGGCTTCCCACCCATGTGAGATCTCTGATGTACAGTAAAACTTGATTCAGAGCTAAAACTTTCCCCACATTCAGGACAGGAAAATCTCTCCTCCCCCTGAATTCCGGCACCATCCCTCACAGTAGGAGGTTGCTCAGAGTCAGAGGGATTTGATGGTCCATCCACACTGTGAAGTCCACCATCCATAGCTGAGATCATTGTCGTTTCTCCTGCACAATCTCCTGTGATGTCCTCATCTTCCATTTTACAGCTTAGAGGTAAAGTGAGATGATCCTTTGAGGGTTTCTCGATGGCGTGTTCTGGAAAATATAAAAACATGATAAATAGATACACGAGGGTGAGTTCACATAAATCAAAGTTCCATCTGGATCAGGTAGGTTTTACTGAGCAGATGTTCTCTGTAGATGTCCCAACCAGCTGTGACTTCCCCTCTTCACTAAAAGGTCCTTTGGTCCTCCCCCCAGATCACTTCTACAGTAAAAGGTCCTTTGGTCCTCCCCCCAGATCACTTCTACAGTAAAAGGTCCTTTGGTCCTCCCTCCAGATCACTTCTACAGTAAAAGGTCCTTTGGTCCTCCCCCCAGATCACTTCTACAGTAAAAGGTCCTTTGGTCCTCCCCCCAGATCACTTCTACAGTAAAAGGTCCTTTGGTTCTCCCCCCAGATCACTTCTACAGTAAAAGATCCTTTGGTCCTCCCCCCAGATCACTTCTACAGTAAAAAGTCCTTTGGTCCTCCCCCCAGATCACTTCTACAGTAAAAGGTCCTTTGGTCCTCCCTCCAGATCACTTCTACAGTAAAAGGTCCTTTGGTCCTCCCTCCAGATCACTTCTACAGTAAAAGGTCCTTTGGTCCTCCCTCCAGATCACTTCTACAGTAAAAGGTCAGGAAACCAATGGGGACTGGGAGGAGCATGCTCTTCACACAACCACAAATCTAGGTCATGTGATCTCTGATAATGAAGAGGTTCAAAGTTCATATTGCAGACCCTTTAGCATAGAACAAGTGACCGTAGGCCTAGGCTTCTGGTGATAAGCAGCACTGGAGGGTGCTGTTAGTTCTGCTCTCGGACAGGGCTTTAGGAAACTCATAGTCTACCAAAACTTCAAAAAAACTGGAATAATATCCTCTGTACTGCAATAAGCAGGACTCAAATTTGCACTGGACTTAACTTCTGCACCCTATTGAGGAGTTAAGCGGACTGTGCATGGTGTCAAGTCAGCAGGTGACCATACTGTCCGGACAGACTAGGTCTAAATCAGTACGCCAATGCATAAAGCGGCATTTCGAACAGAAAGGTAAAGGGACTATGTACGTCACAGTCATTTCCATTTGGGGGACGGGATCTGTGGACCCCATATTTTTAACCACCTTCCGCCCGCCATATAGTAATGACGGGTGCAAGGTGTTTCTCTTGTTCTGACAGGATGTCATATGACGTCCTTCTATTCTCACTGCGCATGCGCGGCTTAGGGAGCACGCAGCGCGGCGATCTCCGGTGCGCTGTGTCCCTCGGACACAGTGGATCATGGAAAGAGCTGAAGATGTCGGCTCGGTCATGTGATCAGCTGTGTCCAATCACAGCTGATCACATGTAAACATGGAAATGCCGGTTATCGGCATTTCTCTCCTCTCGAGCGGTCACGCTGACAGAGGAGAGGAGAGCCGGTAATCAGCTTTCCGCGGAGGGGACATGTACACTGATCATCAGGGCACTGATGATCAGTGTGCCCTGATGATCAGTGTGGCCTCAGAAGTGCCACATGTCAGTGTCCATCAGTGCCACAGCAGTCAGTGCTCATCAGTGCCACATATCAGTGCATACAGTGCACATCACTGCCACATATCAGTGCCCATCTGAGCTGCCTTTCAATGTCACCCATCAGTGCCACCTATCAATGCCAATCAGTGCCACCTATCAGTGCCTATCAGTGCAGAGTGCCAGCCTATCAGTGCAAGTCAGTGCCGCCTATCAGTGCAAGTCAGTGCCGCCTAACAGTGCCATATATCAGTGTCATGTATCAGTGCTGCCTTTCAGTGCCCATCAGTGATGCCTGTCAATGCCCATCAGTGCAACCTACCAGTGCTCATCAGTAACCATCAGTGCCACCTATCAGTGTCCATCAGAGCAGCCTATCAGTGCCCATCACTGCAGCCTCATTAGCACACATCAGTGAAGGAGAAAAATCACTTATTTACAAAATTGTATAACAAAAACTAAGAAAAAAACGTTTTTTTTTCAAAATTGTCAGTGATTTTTAGTTTGTTTAAGAAAAAATAAAAATCCAGAGGTGATTAAATACCACCAAAATAAAGCTCTATCTGTCTCAAAAAAATGATAAAAATTTCATATGGGTACAGTGTTGCATGACCACGCAATTGTCATTGAAAGTGCAAAAGCGCTGAAAGCTGGAAATTGGCCTGGGCAGGAAGGGGGTATAAGTGCCCTGTTGGCTAGTGGTTAAAGGGGGCTTCCAAGTTTTGAGAAGTCTTCATCTTCAGACCCCACAACCAACAAGCCAGATTTGGGGGGGGGGGAGCCCTTGTCCACCTCAATTTGGGGACAACGTTCTGTGCCAGGGATGTACCCCAGGAAAACTAACCCCATGTTAAAGGCATGGTATGGTTCAGGAGGAAGGTAGGCACACTCTTCCCTCTCGTGTCAGGCTCCATGCTAGGATAAAGGTCTGGTATGTATCTAGAGGAACCCTTTTGTTGCACGAGTTCCCCCATTAACATCTATAACAGACCTTCATCTAGAGCAGGCATTCTCAACCTTTTCAACACAGAGGAACCCTTGAAATAACTTTCCAATCTCAAGGAACCTTTGCTAAAAATTAATATAACTCATGATACATTAGTAAGATGGTCGATGGGAAAGAATGCTCCTTACAATTGTGGTCATTGGGAAGAATGCTCCTTACATTTGAGGTCATTGGGAAGAATGCTCCTTACAATTGAGGTCATTGGGAAGAATGCTCCTTACACTTGTGGTCATTGGGAAGAATGCTCCTCACAATTGTGGTCATTGGGAAGAATGCTCCTTACAATTGTGGTCATTGGGAAGAATGCTCCTCACAATTGTGGTCATTGGGAAGAATGCTCCTTACACTTGTGGTCATTGGGAAGAATGCTCCTCACATTTGTGGTCATTGGGAAGAATGCTCCTTACACTTGTGGTCATTGGGAAGAATGCTCCTCACAATTGTGGTCATTGGGAAGAATGCTCCTTTACACTTGTGGTCATTGGGAAGAATGCTCCTTACAATTGTGGTCATTGGGAAGAATGCCCTTACAATTGTGGTCATTGGGAAGAATGCTACTCACAATTGTGGTCATTGGGAAGAATGCTCCTCACACTTGTGGTCATTGGGAAGAATGCTCCTCACACTTGTGGTCATTGGAAGAATGCTCCTTACAATTGTGGTCATTGGGAAGAATGCTCCTAACACTTGTGGTCATTGGGAAGAATGCTCCTCACAATTGTGGTCATTGGGAAGAATGCTCCGACAATTGTGGTCATTGGAAGAATGCCCCTTACACTTGTGGTCATTGGGAAGAATGCCCCTTACACTTGTGGTCATTGGGAAGAATGCTCCTTACAATTGTGGGTCATTGGGAAGAATGCCCTTACAATTGTGGTCATTGGGAAGAATGCCCCTTGCAATTGTGGTCATTGGGAAGAATGCTCCTTACACTTGTGGTCATTGGAAGAATGCTCCTTACAATTGTGGTCATTGGGAAGAATGCTCCTCACAACTTGTGGTCATTGGGAAGAAATACTCCTATCACCCCCTCACAAATGGCTAAAAAGATCAATGGTTGGTCAGTGGGAAGAAACTTCACACTTGAGATTGAAAAAAATGCTCCTCCCAATTGCTCAAGGAGGAAAACCCCTGGCAACCTCTGGAGGAACCCTGGTTGAGAAACCCTGATCTAGAGTCATACAAGGTCTAGCTCTAACGGATCGCCTGGCTGATTTACATTTTTTTTTTTTCAGGCAGTAGTAAATAGATCCATCTGTAGGAAACACACACACTGACTGAATCCATTGTTTCTATGTGTTTATCAGATGATGGGGGATCTAGGTGGATCCTCCGTACTGCTCTCTCCTTTACAATAAAGTCTCCTGTTACCCGCTGATGTGAGGGGCGGCTGATTGTCCATCATGACGTCCTTGTAGAGATCCTGGTTGTGTCCTTCTGAGAGCTCCTCAATCATTCCATACTCCTCATCCTCCTCTTTACACTCTTCTTTAACAACAATATTAAATAATCCCCGAGGATTCCACTCTGAAAATATAATAAACAGTCATTTTCAACAAACATACTGTGTATAAATCATAATTATCAGTGATTGTTCCTCATCTACCTGATGATGCTGTGCATTGTTGTGATGATTCCTCTGTGGAATCCTGGGAATACAGAGGACGGGGACATCTCTCTGGTGGGTTCCCATTACTGGATCCATCTACCTGATGATGGTGAGGGATGGTGTGACCTTCCTGTGTGGAATCCCGGAATAAATACAGAGGACGGGGACATCTCTCTGGTGGGTTCCCATTACTGGATCCATCTACCTGATGATGGTGAGGGATGGTGTGACCTTCCTGTGTGGAATCCCGGGAATACAGAGGACGGGGACATTTCTCTGGTGGGTTCCCATGACTGGATCCATCTACCTGATGATGGTGAGGGATGGTGTGACCCTTCCTGTGTGGAATCCCAGGAATACAGAGGGCGGGGACATCTCTCTGGTGGGTTCCCATGACTGGATCCATCTGTAGGAAACACACACACTGACTGAATCCATTGTTTCTATGTGTTTATCAGATGATGGGGATCTAGGTGGATCCTCCGTACTGCTCTCTCCTTTACAATAAAGTCTCCTCTTACCCGGTGATGTGAGGGGCGGCTGATTGTCCATCATGACGTCCTTGTAGAGATCCTTGTGTCCTTCTAAATACTCCCACTCCTCCATGGAGAAATAGACAGTGACACCCTGACACCTTATAGGAACCTGACACACACAATGATACACAGTCACCATCCAGACACATCCCTTGTCTGTTACTGGAGAATGTCCCAGAATTCCCGGCACCGCTCACCTCTCCTGTCAGCAGCTCCATCATCTTCTTGGTGACTTCTAGAATCTTCTGCATGTTGTGTCTCTCAGGTTTTAGGGAGTCACATGGAGGCGCTGTGATGGTCAAATGATCACCTGACTTCACAGAAGGAAAACTCTATATTCCGCAAAAACAAAAACAGTAATAGTATGACACATTCCCAGAATCCTCCACACCTCTCCGGTCAGGTCTGTGTTTTATTAATAGAGATAACAGTGATGTCATGTGACCTCCCAGAATCCTCCTCACCTCTCCGGTCAGGTCTGTGTTTTATTAATAGAGATAAGAGTGATGTCATGTGACCTCCCAGAATCTCCTCCTCACCTCTCCGGTCAGGTCTGTGTTTTATTAATAGAGATAAGAGTGATGTCATGTGACCTCCCAGAATCCTCCTCACCTCTCCGGTCAGGTCTGTGTTTTATAATAGAGATAAGAGTGATGTCATGTGACCTCCCAGAATCCTCCTCACCTTTCCGGTCAAGTCTGTGTTTTATTGAATAGAGATCAGAGTGATGTCATGTGACCTCCCAAAATCCTCCTCACCTCTCCGGTCAGGACTGTCTTTTTATTAACAGAGATCAGTGATGTCATGTGACCTCCCAGAATCCTCCTCACCTCTCCGGTCAGGTCTGTGTTTTATTAATAGAGATGAGTGATGTCATGTGACCTCCCAGAATCCTCCTCACCTCTCCAGTCAGCAGGTAGATGATCTCCAAGGTGAGGTTTAGTATCCTCTCAGTTATGTGACTCCGATCCTTCTCTGTCCTCATTGTTGTGGTCATGTGATCTCTGCCAGTTTTTCTGGATGTACAAAATTACGAAGGTAATGTAAGGACATAAAAGGTTGTCTTCCCCCTGTTTAATCACGCCCCTCCTACTTTAGCACAATTTGTCTACACCCACCATTTGGCATGGCACTACATACTGCACCCCATGCTCCACCCCCTGACCCACCCCCATTCTCAGGCCACTAATTTTCAAAAGCTTCCAGATATTTCAGCTGCCAATCTGTAATTTGTAGCGCAGGAAAACACTTGCCTTGTGTCCCCAAATTTAAAGTCTAATCAAGGTGACTACATACTGTCCTACCGCTGGTTTTCATTGCTGGAAAACACACCTTCCCTATATCTCCCAACATGGCCTTCTTCTAAGTGCTGTCCTCCTGCTGGACAGTTTCTACCCTACCATTCCTGAGGGCCATGCGTCCTCCCAACACAGTGCAACTCAAGGATAAAGATTTGAAGAGCCGGCTTCTCATCTTTATCTACTCTAATCTTTATTAGAACGAGTAATATGTACAATGAAATGGCTTACGCGTTTCGGCAATAAGCCTTAGTCCTAGTCATACAATTTTCATTCATGGCTATGACTAAAGCTTGTTGCCGAAACGCGTATGTCATTTTATTGTAAATCGTACTCGTTCTAATAAAGATTATTATTCAGGAAGATATCAAAATCTTTATCCTGTTATTAAAAGGGGCTTCTAAATTCTGTAGACCCCCCCCACCACCACAACTACCAAGCCAGGGTCTCCTCATTAACATGGGGACAAGGTGCTTTGCCAGAGGATCCCCCCATATTGAGGGTATGTGGCCTGGTATGGTTCAGGAGGAGAGGGTGGCAAACTCATTCCCCCCCTGACCTGAACTTTAGGAGGACCCATTTTTTTCTTTGTTTTTGTGTTGAGTTTGCCCTTAAAGCGATACTAAAATAACAAACATGTTATACTTACCTCTACAGTGGTTTTGCACAGAGCAGCTTGGATCCTCCTCTTCTCAGGTCCCATACTGGAGCGCCTGGCTCCTCCTTTCTGTTGGATGCCCCCATAGCAAGCAGCTTGCTATGGGGGCACCCAAGCAGGCGTGTTCTGGAGCCGCTGCTCCGTGTGTCCAAAATGCAAGTGTACAATCCAAACGCACATGTTCCTGTGTTAAAAATGGCTGTGTGTATAAGTGGGCGCTGCAGCGACTATCGGCTGGAACCGAACAGAATCACCAATGGCTCCCGCTGCTGTTTCAGTAAATGAGGAGGCAGAGATCCAGGACAGCCGGGGCTGTCATTCACATCACTGGATCGGGATACGGCTCAGGTAAGTATTGAGGGGGCTGGAGTCACTGCTGCACACAGAAGGGTTTATGAAGGTAAAAAACATTGAGCCTCTACAACCACTTTCACGTTCATACCAACCCTGAAAGTCATAGTATAGAATTTTGAGAGCTCTCCACTGTTTTTTTTTGTCACCAGTTGCATCCATACCAGACCCTCATGAAGGATAAGGACTACACAGGGGGAAAATGGGCTTAAGGTTCATTCCTCCCCCTCCTTCAGCAAGATACAGTATTTGTCTCCCCACTTTTGTAAAGCAATCTTTGTTTGGCTCTATATGATGACTTATACCACCTGCCCACGGCATCCCTGTTTTGAATGAATGATGACTTGGACTCCACAAGTCTTCAAATACATTTGAACCCTTTCTTGATCGATGATTTTTTCTTATGATCGTTGGAGGCTTCTCCCTGTTCACCCAGATACCGTTGATCTATACCTAGCAGGAGATACAGTGAAGGAAATGCGTATTTGATCCCCTGCTGATTTTGAATGTTTTGCCCACTCACAAAGAAATGATCGGTCTAAAAATCGAATGTTTGGTGTATTGTAACACAGAGACAGAATAGCAACAAAAAATTCAAAAGAAATGCATGTCTAACAAATTATGCACTGATTTGCATGTTCATGAGGGAAAGAAGTATTTGATCCCCTTCACAAAACATGACTTAGTACTTGGTGGCAAATCCCTTGTTGGCAATCACAGAGGTCAGATGTTTCCTGTAGTTGGCTCCAAGGAGCAGGGCCCTCCTATCCCTCTTGTTTCGAACTGTGTTGTCTCCCTTTATATTGTAAAGCGCTGTGAAAACTGTTGGCGCCATATAAATCCTGTATAATAATATTAATAATAACAATAATAGTTGGCCCCCAGGTTTGCACACATCTCAGGAGGGATTTTGGCCCACTCCTCTTGGCAGATCCTCTCCAAGTCATTAAGGTTTGGTGGCTGACGTTTGGCAACTCGAACTTTCAGCTCCCTCCACAGATTTTCAGTCGGATTAAGGTCTGGAGACTGGCTAGGCTACTCCAGGACCTTAATGTGCTTCTTCTTGAGCCACTCCTTTGTTGCCTTGGCCGTGTGCTTTGGGTCATTGTCATGCTGGAACACCCATCCACGACCCATTTTCAATGTCCTGGCTGAGGGAAGAAGGTTCTCACCCAAGATTTGATGGTACATTGCTCCGTCCATCGTCCCTTTGATGCGGTGCAGTTGTCCTGTCCCCTTAGCAGAAAAACACCCCCAAAGCAGAATGTCTCCACCACCATGTTTGACAGTTGGGATGGTGTTCTTGGGGTAATAGGCAGCATTCCTCCTCCTCCAAACACGGCCAGTTGAGTTGATGCCAAAGAGCTGGATTTTGGTCTCGTCTGACCACAACACTTTCAACCAGTCCTCCTCTGCATCATTCAGATGTTCAGTGGCAAACTTCAGACGGTCCTGGACATGTGCTTTCTTGAGCAGAGGGACCTTGCGGGTACTGCAGGATTTCAATCCTTGTCGGTGTAGTGTGTTACCATTTGTTTTCTTGGTGACTGTGGTCCCAGCTGCCTGGAGATCATTGACAAGATCCTCACGTGTAGTTCTGGGATGATTCCTCACTGTTCTCATGATCATTGACACTCCACGAGGTGAGCTCTTGCATGGTGCACCAGACCTAGGGAGACTGACAGTTGTTTTGTGTTTCTTCCATTTGCGAATGATTGCACCAACTGTTGTCACCTTCTCACCAAGCTGCTTGGCCATAGTTTGGTAGCCCAGTCCAGCCTTGTGTAGATCTACAATCTTGTCCCTTACATCCTTGGACAGCTCTTTGGTCTTTGCCATGGTGGAGACTTTGGAATCTGATTGTTTGATTGCTCCTGTGGACAGGTGTCTTTTATACAGGTAACAAAATGAGATTAGCAGCACTCCCTTTAAGAGACTGCTTCTAATCTCAGCTTGTTACCTGTATGAAAGACACCTGGTAGCCAGAAATCCTGCTGAATGATAGGGGATCAAATACTTATTTCCCTCATGAACATGCAAATCAGTCATCATTTGTTAGACAGGCATTTCTGCTGAATTTTTGTTGCTATTCTGTCTCTCAGTGTTACAATACACCGAACATTCGATTTCACTGTTCAACAAATTTTTATTTTTTGCCAGTTTTGGAAACAAAAGGATCCATTTCTTAATGAATTTCACATTCTGAGTTCAAATATAACAATGAAATTTGTCAATTGGCTCTAGTTTTTCTGTAAACGGAAAGTTTTCTACTATAGGCGTAATGACTACATAATGCACAATAATTATATAGATAGATGTCTTTCCACAAATATAAAGCAAGTGATATTGACTACATAACAAAGCCTAAATGGCATAATATATTGCATAGGATTACCAAGAAAAATTATAGCCATAAGCTAAGTTGAATCATTTTAATACTTAGGATTCTCACTAGTTTTGTCTTCAGTTTGTGTCGGTTTTGCTTCTCTTGGCTTTTCTCTTGTATTCGAGGAAAGGGCTATCTCTTACAACTGCACGTGACTACACGCTTCAGGTTCTTCCTCACTTGACTCAACCACGAAGGATCTGGTGCTTTAGGAATTGGTAGCCCCTCTCCATGAGGAACTGGACGTATTGCCGATGGAATATTTGGATAGTGCACAGATAACTTTTTCTTCTTATTTAGCCCTTTTACAATTGGAGGCACCATACAAAAGTAACAATTAC